CATTAAAAAAACGACAACTAATTTTGACAATATGAGAGACGAGTTACTTTTAACACGACACACACTTTGCGAGCTCCTCTACCAAAAGCCACGATAATTATTTATTGCAACCATTCCACGATACCCATAATTTGTAAGAGGATAACCAAAGAATTTACTGACCTTAATGAATAATTTATATCCTCATCAGCCAACTGTTTTGTCTGAGCATCCCTTGTTACTGTACCATTTGTTCACGGAACAGATATTATTGAGAAAGTTTCAAGTCTGAATCAACTTAAACTTTAAGATGAAACACTTGAGCAAAGATGAGAAATCAACCCCCTTGAAATTAAGCAGTCTTGTGTGTCATCGAAGTGGCCAATATTGTGCCGCAATGATGAAGGTGAAGCACACACACACATACAAACACACACACACGAACACACACACACACACACTTACACATACAAACACACAGACACACACACAAACACGCACACAAACACACACACACAAACACACACATACAAATACACACACACGCACACACACACACACACACACACACACACACACTCACACACACTGATTATTTTACAACATAAGCAACAGTAAACGTATAGCAGTTAAGAATATTTGTGTCAATACACGATTGGATCAGGCGCTTGTCAATTTTTTGACATGTGGAGTTATAAGCATCATCTGAAAGCTTGTTCTTTTGTTTTGCTTTCAATGAAATAAATACCTATTTATCCTGATTACAAGTCGGGATATTTATGATTGAAGAAGGTGCAGTTGCCTGTTTCCAGAGGTAAATTTAGCGAGAAAAGGCGGAAAAGTTTGGTTATTTCCACCAGTTAAGAGTCCCTGGAAACGGAAAATTTACATTTTCTGTGCCTTCAATCAACTTTTTTTCAGTAATGTCCTCACAGAAATGTGTGCCCAAAAAAAAAAAAAAAAAAAAAATTAAGATACGAAACCGGCGGGAAAAATGCAAGTTTTTCTTCTTTCAAATTCATTATTTTGACAGGCGCCTTATTTCACCACGCTGCCTCGCATTTAGTGGAACCATCTACTTCTACTGACCTCTAATTCATTCACCATAACTGCAACACCTGAAATAATGCAATTTTTAAAATCTCTATAGGCACTTAAATTAAACCTACCACCTCCTACACTTACAAAAATTAAACAAAACAAACAACAACAAACAAACATCTAGTGGTAGATCACGATTTATCCTATGAGTAAAATTGCCAAATTGTAATCACGAGTTTTAACGAATGATTACAACCGGCAATTTCACAAGATAAATTATGATCTACCACCATAACGAGTGTAATAACATATTTATGCCATACTGATATCAGCTGGCGAAATAGAGCTGGACCTACAGATTATACGATATTATGTTGCTGAACACGCCTTACTTGTTTTTGTTTGGGGGGTTTTTGCCATGACCACAAGCGCCTATCACACCAGCTGTTTATTTGGTCCGTAGAAACATTTAAATATTTGTAAAAAATGTCCTCTATTCATTTCTTCGGCAAACTGGTGTGGTGAGCAAGTCTTCTCGGCCTGTTAAAAGATGTTGAAGAAAGCCATTCTTATTGGCCTCCTGGCTGCTGTTGTGTATTTTGTGGGTACGAAAGTCAAGATGTTGGGTTTTCATCTACATTACTACAAGCATCACCCAGGAACGTGCAGGTAAGTCTCTTGTGCTACGTTGGGAGAGTGGGTTGTGGCTGAAGGTTATTGAGTAAATGTTGGAGGGCACCCCTGGCGAATCCTACCCCTCTTCTTTAATTTACTTGTTGTTTTTTGTCTGTCTATCTGGTCTGTTCCCAAGGTGAATTGTTAATTATTATGTTCATGTTGTTCACTTCACTAAAATTCAAAGGTTCCGTAGTGGCTAACTGAAGGGCGCCTCTTGCATTAGGCAGTCCGTGGGCTCAGTTGGTATCAGGTTTCACTACTTTTCGATTTACCCTGGTTGGATTCTTCAATGGGCAGGGTTTGAACTCTAGTTGTTCAGGGCGTTCAAAGGCTCTTGTCATAGTTGGTGCTGCCCTGTCAGGGAAGAACGTTACACTCATAGGGGGGCTTCACCTCAAAGTCCTAAACTGTGTGTCGTAGGGACGTTAAAATATCAGTTATCCAAACTACTGGAAGTCCAGCTTCGCTACTCTTTTGTTCCTGTCAGTCTGTCTAGGTTTTTCCCCACAATAAATTGCTGCTATTACTTCAATGTGATTCTCTTAGACTGAAACTAAATTCTAGAAAGGAGATTTGTGGCAAACATTAATTACATCTTTAAAGCTTTTAGCATGCTCTTCTATTGTGTTATAGTTCTTCTCCTTTAGCGCAAACGATTCCCACATGGGGAAGATAACATTCCATCGAGTGTCTCCGTCTTTAGGCGGGATATGAACACACAGCAGTAACGGGCATGTTTGTGGTCTATTCAATCTACTTCTCATTGAGGTGTCAGGTCTGGAGCAGACATTAACGACCATGGTACCCCATTCCTTCCTGTCTTTTTGATAAGCTCGGTTTTTCTCTTTGTACTATTCGCTGGAACGTTTTTCAGGTCATCTGTGTATGTTCCTCTAGGTCGTCCTCTGCTCGTCTTTCTCTCAGTCCTCATTAAAACACACAGGCTGCTAGAGGACAACAAAGGTAGGTCCTTCTTCCTTTCTTCACTTTCTTGTACCTGTGAGAAAATCTTGCTGTTTCCATGCACTATTATGACTGCTATCGTGTAGATGCGCCTTTTCGTTTCGGTGATTTGCTGTTATACCACAGATCTTAACAAACATTAGATTTTAAGATGCTACATCAGCCCTATGTATGCATGACCATAAGTTTAAATTTAGAGAGGACTAATATTAACTTCAAGAAACACTATTCTGAAATGTAAAGTGTTTCTTTCTCTGAACGCTTTTACGATTCTTTTTTGGTTCTAATCAAGCAATATGTTCTTTGTTCACATCCATGCCATAACACTATCGACCTCATCATCGTCAGCAACATCATCAGCATCACAACATCATCAACAGGCATGTAACCCTTCCTACTATTTACGAAGCTGGACGCTTATGATATCACTGTGGTGTTCTTAAAAACAAGATTCTGGGTACAGTCCTAAACCAACGTTTGACGTGTAGGATTTCGCCAATACTCTAAGGAGGGAGTGAATCGCTACAATAGAAGTAACAGTGTACAGTCTACCAACTACAAAACTAACCTTATCATAACTGTGTGTTGACTATTGCTACCATATCACCTGCACAATTTTTTGCTAATCAGATGGCGTCAATTTGTTAACTTGGGCAAGGGAAAAATAAGTTTAAATTAAAACACTAAACCAACGGCACTGAGAAAGCCGTGAGGTCGAGAATTGAAACTTACAGAACAACGGAGACAGGGAGTCCACGTCCCTCGAGACTCCTTAGAGCAGAGGAAGATAGAACTAAAACGCTATCATCACTTAAACGCAATCCTACATCATCACTCACCAGAACCATTATTTCCAAAACCATAATTTCTTTCAGATCCTTGACTTACATCTATAATTCGTGAATCTCAATAATATGTAACAGTTACAAGTTATACTAAATGTGTACGTAATACACTATTGGACACTATCATACGCACTTTTTTCTACTAATTAGATGGCGTCAATCTCATATAAATGGGAAAGGGATAAAACAAAAAACTAAACAAAACAACGTACAGACAGTCCATTGTTTTGTTAGCTCAAGTTCTCAACATCACGGTAGTTTCTCTGTTCTGATGGGCTTGTCTTTTATTTAAACTGATTTTTCCCTTGCCTGTTTGTTTATCTGTATAACAACCTGTTACTTTAGATATAATTATACGTGTTCACAATCATGGGGTTTGTCTATCCACAGAGTCATTGAGACTGCTGGCCCCGGTTCTGAGGACTTCCATGTGACGTCAGCGGGTCTTGCGTTCATAACATCCGGTCTTGCATTCTCGTCTGCACCCCCTAGTTTCCTCGAATTCCACAAGAAAAACAACATCAAGGGGCGCATACTCATCTATAACTTCAAGAACCCGAAAAAGGGCTTGGTGGAACTGAAAATCAAGCCCAGCGAAACTCTGGATCTAGCAAAGTTCAAACCCCATGGGATCAGCGTGCTGGAAGACAAAGCGAAAGGAGAACACCTTGTCTACGTTGTGAACCACCCCATTCCCGAACCGGACGCTGTCGAAAAGTTCCGATTTAATCCGAAGACGAACGAGCTGGTTCATCTCAAGTCAATTACGAGTAATGTAATGACGACTACAAACGATCTTGCAGTTGGGGAGGAGGATAAGTTCTACATTACCAACTTCAACTATTTTAATAACTATTTTTTGACTGTTGTTGAGGGTCTGTTTCAGCTGCCTTTAGGAGGAGTTCTCTACTACAACGGCACGGGCTTTACGCAGGTGACCCGACGCCTTGCGAAGCCCAACGGCGTGTTTCTGTCGAAAGATCTCAGGTAATTATACAAATAGTCTATGTAATAGATGTAACTACAGTCAAATCTGCTCCAATGACCATCTGCCTAAAACAATCACCTATATAAATAACCCCTTCCCACTCCTCCCCCTCCATAAATGCTTCCATATCATAACGGCACTGTTCGAGAAGGCCAGCCACCTGTCTAAGATGATCCCTTTTCTCCTCAACAGTTTGGTCCTCTTGGACAAATTCCACTGTATCGTTAAACTGATGTGCTCTCCAGTGTCTGTTTTGTAATGATTGTTAGGCTCTTACTCGTTTCGGACAGAAGACGTACACTTTTCGCGTGTCGAGGAGTTTGTTTATCATCGTGTGTTTCCATCTGTATGATCATCATCATCATCATCATCATCATCATCATCATCATCATCATCATCATCATCGTCAAGTGCCATATCTGCCACAGACATCGGCGATTATGGTTCTCCATTCATTCCTTTGCTCGAATGCTCTTTTAAAAAGTTACATTACCCTGACTATTCCTCGTTAACCATCTGTTAAGGTTCTCCAAGTAGGTTGCTCTGAGCCTATCTCTATCTGCTTCGTTTGCCTTCAATTTTGCCAGCAAGAGCTAGACGTTCTGTCTGACAGGGCTTTGTATTCCAGGGCTGGCCCTCCGACGTCTATGGAGTAAAGGTTATGTACCGTCTGTGGTGTAGCGGGTAGATGTTCTACTGTAGCACACAAGAGATCCGAGTTCGATTTTTGTGCATAGATATTGTTATTGAGCACCTTGATCATTGACTTCCCCTAAGCCCGGGTTGCCTCCTAACAGGCATAGTCGAAGCAGGCATCCCCCTAAATTATCTTATTTGTATCTACACTGAAGTAAAACACATACATTTAATAAACGTTTTTGACGGTTACTTTTTGCCGTAATATGAAGATGAGGGGCGTTTTATTTCGTCATGAGGAATCTATTTTATCCAGTATCTGCGTGAGTCGGCTGAGATGTTCTATTCTGGTCTTGGCTGGTCGGGTCAAGCTGCAGTCGTCCTTAGTGAATCAAATGTGTCCAAAGTGACGTCAAGCATTTACATTTATTGACAATCAACAAGACGTCTATGCGGTCATTTGTGGACACACTGAATAATGCATTGATTGTAACATGGGTAACAATATATTATGTGAGGCATCTTGGAAAAATCAGGCGTTCGTCAAAGAAAAAAACATGAATTCGATGATACTGGCATTTTTCCTCCGGGTTGGCAATTTTTAAAATAGAACTTTTGTTTTTAGGTTCCACTTCTTTTCATGTCCATATAAAAACACATCTCTGAGTGGATTTTACTTTTTTTTTAAAGAACCCCCCCCCCCTAAAAACCGTTGACTAAAGGCGCACGGAAAATGTAAATTTTCAGTTTCCAAGGACTCTCAAGCTTAGGATTCATAAAACTGTGACTGCCATTTTCTCGCTAATGTTGCCTCTGAAACCCCAAAGTCACACACACATGATATAAATGAACAATATTGTTTGCTACTGAAATTCGCCATAATTTGTACAACGTTCGCTATCATAACTGTCTTAAGTATAATTGAAGGTAATGGTGAGGGATTAGAATGGATGGATTCATCATTCCTGTGCAACTGAGAGGAGTATTATGTGAAGGCTGCTTTTTTCTCACTATTTTTAAGGATACGGTAAAGTGTCTCATTTCGTAAGATTTTATTACTAAAAATACCATGAATTTGACATTTTAATACTAATAGGGTTCAAATTGTGCATGATGCTTTTACAACCATATTGCAACATTTAGACAAAATCGCACAGGAATAGTGTTGACTTTTAAGATTTTTTTGTTTTGTGTAGGTAATAATTTTTAATCCCCCACCCCCTTTACAATTTGTGACGTTTTTCGATATACCACCCACAATAGCTACTCAAACAAAACTAAATGAAATATGCTGTTTTTGTTGTCAAATGTTTTGTATTTTAGTAGTTGATGATGTAACCAAATAACAAAGAAATTGCTTGAAGCATGAGAGGGCATAAGAATTTTTTTATGTCCTCAATTCTGAGGTAACCATTACATGATATGCATCTCGTTTGTCGACGAATGATTGTTTTATCACAATCAAATATCTAACCATTTATAATGAATATGTAATACTTTGATAAAACGAAACATTGTGTATGTGTAGAGTCTAAAGAGATTTTAAAAAATGTCCAGCTGCACCTTCCCTTATGCTGTATAAATAATCAATACTGTATTAGTATCCTGTAGTATTCTGATACTACAGGCTGTAGTAATGTAACACAGAAATTATTCATAACGGAGGTGAGTGTCCGTTGAACAGACGAACAGCTGTGACAGCTTTGTTAATTACTGTTCCAGAATTCCTAAGTTTGTAAGCTAACTGGAGCTCCTCGTTCATTACTTCCCGTCTGTTGTTTCTGTCGGTTCATCTTGTTCTTACCTCCTTTTACTGAATGAATAAATGAATGACTGTCATCATGTCTTTGTACTTTTCCTTTTTCAAACTGAAAAACTAGAGTAGCAGAGTTATCGAAAACGATGTATCGACGAAAATTATGTCCCTTTCTTTGCTGCTTTTAATTTCCCTTCACTCAGTCAGTGAGTAAGTTATGCCTGTATTAGTTTTGGTGCCTTCAAAGTATCACCCCCCCCAATAGCATAAAACGTGGATTGCCTACATCTATCAGATACATAGTTGACTGCAGAGCATTTTCACAGTGGTAAGACAAGTTGAAGGTGACAGAAAGGCAAGGCTGAGAGTGGTTACAGGGTGCCACTGGTAGTTCCCACTGTTGTTTTTTACCTATGCTGTTTCTATATTATGTCTGTCTTGCTCTTTTCACGTAGTAAACCGCAGTCGTTGCGTCGATGTGCTTTACTTTAGCAAATTTTGATGGCAATAATACATACTGGTTGTACACTTTATCATGGGGAAGGTGTGTGTGTGTGTGTGTGTGTGTGTGTGTGTGTGTGTGTGTGTGTGTGTGTGTGTGTGTGTGTGTGTGTGTGAGTG